TGCCCCAGGCCTCGCTCACTACCGACCACATCGCATCGCACATCGGCAAGGCCATGGGCATCGCAGCCGTACTGCGAGGCATCCCGCTCATCGCATTCCCCCCACAACAGCCACTAGGCACTAGCAACTCCATGACCGGGCAGTCTGGACCCACACAAGGCGCCGTACTCCTCCCACTCGACGTAATGGCCGAAGCCAACGTCCGCGAAGAAGACGTCTTCCGCCAAGGCGCTTCCGCCCCCGGTCTCCGCGACGCCATCTTCACCGTCGCGACACGCGCAAATGACCACCTCATCACCGCCCGCGAGATGCTGTCTAAGCTGCGATCCGAAGGCACACTCGGCCACGACTTCGAACACCAGAATGAGGAGGAACATCAGTACAGCGCACAGCAGATGAACACAGGGCAGGAGGCACAACTAGCGGAGGTCGAACAGGCATTCGGTGTCTTTATGCCGAGCATAGCGACGCAATCTTGGCTGGATAGATTACAAGGGGTGGACTTTGATATCTTTGATGCGAATCTGAGGAAGGTCGACTGGAAGCTACCCATGAAAGCATATTGGGCGTATAGCCGGCGGAAGATATAATGTTCAGAAAGAATGAAGCATTTACCGATGTACTTCTCAAGGCTGCAAGGTGCTCCAAGCGATGATGCTGATCATGGCTAAGTACAGATCTTAATCAGAAGTCGACCAGCGCCATAGTGACGGAAAGGCTGATTTTTGGTTTTCCCTCGTTTTGAGAACGACGTGGAGAGAAGAAGGTCTGGTGACAATCCACCTGTTTAAATACCCATCCAGGACCCTCATCGCAGAGGAGCCGCCAGCCTGATCGGAAATTTGCGAGGACGACATCACAACGCTGGGCGATCTTTTCGGATCACAGCCCAATTCTTTGCACAGAAGCTCATGTTTCTCGCCATCATGTCTTTGTTGAACGGCTTCACATAAGTGTAAAGAGGTATGGTTTTTGATTTCGCATTGACTTTCGTGCCAGTCGACGGGTCGCGGCAACACATGTGGTCGACATTGTTGTGTTTCGATGAGTGAGGCCATGCCATACACGATGTTGACGGTCTCAGTCATGGGGTAAAAGCCGAACCAGAGCAGGACAGACACTCATGTTGACATGCTCACAGACTTTTGGAAGCAAAATGCTGGAAGTTGGCTTTCGGCGGAAGAGCGGAGGCAGTGCTCATGTACAAGATCCAACGTAGTTTTGGGAGGCAAAGGCAGTGCTCATGTTCCTGATCCACGTACTTTTGGGAAGCGAGGGCCGAACACATGAGTGCGCCCTTTCTTAATTTAGAGTAAAAGAGAAGAAGAAAGGACTTGAGTAGTAACTAGGTGCACGGAAGGCGAGGTTTATATATGCCAGGAACCAGAGGTGGATACTCAGCGCAGCATATCGCGGGACCAACTCATTTTCGGTTTTTGATGTGCGCTCATGTGCTCTTGTTGCTCAGACAAAACATAGGCAGTGCATCCAGATTTTTTGAAAGTCTCCAGGGCTCAGCGCGCAGAACAACATGTCCAAGACGTGGTTTCGTTTTGATATTCTGTTCCGAGTGAGAATGGAAGATGCAAGGCAGAGAGGACATGTCTTCTAGCAGTTTTGGTGGTAAAGACTCAGAAGTTATTCTTTACGCAAAAGCGGGGACAATGCTCATGGGTCCTTTACCGCTCCTTTCTGGACAGAGAAGGGCGGACACATCCCATGTTGGCATGACTTTTTTTGGAGAACAAAGTCGATGGGGAGAGGAGTTGAGGCACAAGAAGGCGAGCGGAAGTCGAGATTTATATATTCGATCAACTGGAGGCGGGCTAAGGCGCGGCATAGCAGACTGGCATTTGCATTCTGCTCATGGTTTCTCGCATCTTCTTTTCGCGCGGACAAAACATTATTGCATATCAAGTCCACTTTGAAAAGCCCGGCGCCGAGAACAACATGTAAGTCGTTGGGTTGATTTTTGGAATTTGGTAGGAAGCGACAATGGAAGATGGAAGGGAGGGTGAGTTCGAGGCTGCGAAGACTTATATACTGGGTTGTATAGCGAGCTACCCCCAATGCAGCTGTGGTCGGCTATAGCGCAACTGCACATGGTATAATGGGGATGTTGTTTTGAACAAAGCATATTCCTATGTTTTTTGGAGAGTTTCAAGAGCAGAAGTTTTAAAGTAAGAGTAGAAGAGTAACGATGATGATGTTACACACCTCTATTTCTCGCCGCAGATACGTAGTGGAGGTAGAGCCCGACGTAGTGCGGCCGGTCATGCGCAATAAGATGTAAGATTGGAAGATGACCGCGACCATGACAACGTCGCTTCTGTTCGCAAGTGAGAACCTACACAGGCGGTATGCATGCGTTACGCGCGTAAAGTCAAAGCAAACTATTGATTCGGATGAATGACACGGAAAGCGAGGATTGGAGCCCCGCCCTTTCGTATCCGATTTGGTTAGTCTACGCATCCTGCGTGTCATTGTCCAGGAGGATATCATGTCGCAAGTCCGTCATTTTGGTAGTAGGATATTCTGACATTCATTCTCAGAATTTTGATTGTGTCTGTCGCACGTACGGTGGTCGAAGATGGCGTCAAATGTGTGTGCCCTCAGTCGCAGCCCCTTGGCCTTCGCAAGCTAACAACCACAGCCAAACGCATCGATAACCTGGGCGGCATCTCAGAAAGAAGATGCGTCCAAAGTTGGGTTTCTGGACTTACCGCGCGAACTTCGCGACATGATCTACGAGTTCGCGTTCCGGATCAAAGGCGCGGTTCTCGTCTACTCGCGCGACCCCTTCGCAGTTCGGCCGGTGATGAGAGTGCTGAACATCCGACATGGCGGCGAAGGTCCGATTGAACCACAACCCTTATGCAGCGGCCAGATCCCCGTAGCACTCATAAGGACGTGTCGACAGCTGCGCGCAGAAAGCAGCCCTGTTTTCTACGGGTCGAACTTTTTTTCTTTCTGGGCGCTGGGCAACGTCGACGTGGGTTCCGCCAATCGGTATTTGGTACGGCACATTGTGACTGAAGCAAGTCCTCGCGGCATCTTCGACAAGTCTCTCGAGCACGTCAGCTATTGCTGGAAGAGGAGGTTTTGGCCTGAGATATTGCGTAGCAGCGAGGCTATATTGGAGCACTTCCCATACCTAGACACGCTGACGTACTCACTGAAGCCACCGCGTGAGGAGGTTTGGAAACCTGCTTTCTTTGATGTGGCCAACAAAACTAGAGAGCAGCGTGTCGATCTGGTTGCTAGTTGGATGGGTCAAATGTGTCCTTGGGAGAACGAGCGACTGCGTCGGATTGTGCATCTCGAGATGGTGCCTTCGCCTGGGCTCTCGAGAGATGAATATGCGGGTTCGCGGTTCGTTCTCGAAGACGAAGACGTTTGGGACTACACCGAGTTCGTGAATGCATTCGAGCGGATGAAGATGTCGATGTAATTAGATAGGCGGAGAAGCATATCGATTATATAAAAGCAATATGAGCATTCTGTGGGTGGCCACGTTAGCAGAACCATCGTTCGGTGCAGGATGACGGAAGGAGGCATGATCGTGTGAGCCTTGCCTTTTCCGCCACATCTATCTCATTTCTTGAGCCCTTGGCACGATGTGTGCTTTTCTCCACACGATGCAAGCAGAAACTTGAAGTTTGGTACCGGCATCCCTACGAACTGGTGGCTCAACTGGTAAGCGACGAGGCTAGATCGCCGGCCGATTCCGGCAACTACACCCAAGCCGCAGATGTCAAGCACGGCATCAAGAAAACGCCATTCCGCGCTCAGATCTCACAAAAAAAGATCCAATTGTCATCGACATGTTTCTCCGACCAGCGCGCACCTGCACACGGTCACTCCACACATCAACCCGCGCAATCACGGCCCGGCCGTCCATAAACCCACCAAACGACGCTTTCCGAAACCGGCAAAACCTAGTTCCCAAATTTTCGACAAAACAGTCATCATTGCAATTGAGCAGCAGGCGATTCATAGCAACCTCCGTACCGCGACTTCAACAACTCGGCTCCAAAGAACGGATTTCAACATCCAAAATGGCAGGCGACGATCACTACCTCACGCTCTCATGCCCGGATAAGGCTGGCATTGTGTACGCCGTCACGGGTCTACTGGCCAAGGAAAACCTCACCATTCTCGATCTCCAGCAATTCTCCGACCCAGACTCCAAGAAGTTCTTTATGCGTGTGCATTTCGGCCATGCAGCAGATGTGTCCGCGCTGCAAGAAAGCATGAAGAAGCTCGCTTCCGAAATGAGCATGACATACCAGATCCAACGGGTAGACTCCAAGCCCAAGGTCCTCATCATGGTATCCAAAATCGGACACTGCCTCAACGACCTGTTGTTCCGCGTCAAGTCCGGTCAACTTAAAGTCGAAGTCCCGATTATTGTGTCCAACCACCCTGAGTTTGCCGAGCTGGCAAAGAACAACGGCATTGAATTTCATCACCTTCCTGTAACCAAGGACACCAAGGAGAAGCAGGAGACGCAGATTCTGGATCTCATCAAGCAACATAACATCGATCTTGTTGTTCTGGCGCGCTACATGCAGGTCCTCTCACCGCGCCTGTGCACGGAGATGTCGGGCAAGATTATCAACATTCATCACTCTTTCTTGCCTTCGTTCAAGGGCGCGAAACCTTACCACCAGGCCTACGAGCGTGGTGTCAAGATCATCGGTGCGACCGCACATTTCGTCACAGCGGATCTGGACGAGGGACCGATCATTGAACAGCGCGTTGCTAGGGTCGACCATGCCTTGAGCCCCAAGGAGTTGGTCGAGGAGGGCAGCAACGTCGAGAGCCAGGTTTTGGCAGCGGCAGTCAAGTGGTGGAGCGAGAAGAGGGTGTTTTTGAACGGTCAAAAGACTGTTGTGTTCAACTAAAGCGTGCCATCAAAAGTCGACGAAAAGCAATGTAAATATACACATGTGTCATGAAAAGCGTCTGAGAATTAATCTACAACGGATTGCGCACGCTCACCACTTCACGCGCAGGCCTTCGAAACTTCTCGGCATAGGTGGAAAGTCAGCAGACAGGCCATCTTCGCCAATGTACTTCTCCTTGAGTAGCAGGCAGGTCGAGCACAGGCGCTCCCCTATTGAGTGCTCACCGAGCCAGATCCGGCCTTGAGCACTGTAAAGCAAAGTCGCTATATCGGTGAACATGTTTGATGTAGGATTGTTTTGGAGGTCGGTATCGTTGAAAGCGTGCGGCTGGGCGTCGAAGAACTCCTCATCCAATTGCGTATAATCGTTGGTATCCTCCGTTTGAAGCATTCCGGTATAGTCCTGAAGCTCTTCTGAAATCGTCGAGTCTTTATGAATCGTGTGGCAGACACAGTTCGAGTTGTGACCGGACTTAACGCATTCTGTGACGGCTATGCGCGCAGGTTCGACCAGTCCGCCAGCAAATGGACCATAGTCGTCTCCGCAGTGAGTGCATGCAGTTCTTGATGACTTTTCAGCGCCGTGAGGGATATCCGTGGACTGAGTCAGCACACGGACGAAGGTCCTTCGTGTCATGCTCATTTGGCGTAGACAGTCATCGAGCTCTTCGCGCATGTACACTTTCAACTGCTCAATGCAGTCCAACACTGCGTTACACCAAGCTGAGTAGATACTAGGCAGTGCCTTCAGGTATTCCTTATGTGTGAGGACGTCCTCCATCCAATCAAAGCCCCTCATTTGCAGAAACGAGCCGGCGTTCACTGCCATTGGTAGGACCACTCGACCGATTACACGTAGAGCAAGCCAAGAGCCCATAGCATGTAGGTGTCTCTTGCTGATGTCCAGACGCTCTTCGCTAGAAAGACTGAGAATGTGCTCGAGGTAGTTGTTGTGATGCGCATGGTTGAGAACAGATCTCATGGCGTGTTGCAGGGCGGACCAAGCAGTGCGCACGCTAAATTCGACGTATTGTTCATTCACGGTAAGGTGAAGTAGCCATGTAATACTGTTTCGCGAAATAGGAACTCGTTCTCTCGCATACGCTCTCTTGAGCCAGTCGTGTACAGTCCAGCCATCACTGTCGGCGTCGGCGATGTCAATGCATTCGCAGAAGAGTCTGAGCATCGCGATCTTGATATCAGCGTGCTCATCGGTACAAAATGCGACGAAAAGCGATATGGGCGATCTAGTTTCGTTAGCAGCGGTACCGTCAGTCGACACTGGGGACCTACAAGATCGCATCAGAAGGTCCTTCATACACCAGTGCAGACTTGTCTGCCCCTCCCTTAATCAACAAAGCGCAAAGCTCGACGTGACCTGCTGCGGCGGCAAACTGGCCAAGTCAGCATCCTTGATTGAGTTCTCCACACAGGAGTAGCGTCTTACGTGCAGTGGCTTCCATCCTTTGGGGCTCGTGTCTACTACGCTTGCCATTCCCTTCTCCAGAAGCGTTTCGACAGCACGGGTCTGACCGGTGCGACAGAGCTCGAAGATGAGTGAGTCATCGGGAACCGGGCAGGTTACTGTTATGTTACAGTTAAAGAGCCAGCTGCGCCCCCCGGATGCCACGACAGCTTCGAGGCCGCTCTGAATGCCCATGTACTGTTGCCATCTTGTCGGGTATAATATCAGCGACCTAAAGGCTTCAGTAAGTTGGAAAGCCACAGATATGACAGCGATGCCTGGATGCTATTAGTAGGAGATGACGAAAACGTTCATCGAAAGTACCATTTGCCGCGACCGAAAGTCCTTCCATTGTCTGTGCAGCCTGATTACTGATTGCATGGCAAGAGCAGTCGGATTGGGGCTTATATTCCAGTGAGCCTACCTAGGTACTGCGGCACAGCAGATGGGCGAGGTTCACTCTCGTCTCAGCATTGCTGCGCCAATGCATGTTCAATAATTCCCCTGCAGGTCGCCTCGTGCTTTACCTCCGCAAACTCCGCGCTGAGCATGCCTTTGAGCCTTGCGCATGGTCATAGCTGGGAAACCGGGAGACAGCATCGAACAACAATGTGCGCGGCAGATTGACGCGCTTGTGTGAGTAACAGCCATGACAGTTGCCCATTACCTTGTTTTTCTCTGGTTGTAATATCAGCAAACTTCAATACTCTACAAGACCTGCCCATAAGCTCGAGACGATTTCGATGTTCGGGCGACAGTTCGTCAACGGTGCTCGGGGAGGCTGGGTCGATCGACGCTTCCGCCCCCACACTATCCACTTGTGGATTCAGCCGTCACGTAACGGGTGTCGAGGCTGACGCGTTCCAGGGAGCTCTAGAAGACGAGATCGCATACAATAGGTTGGAGCGTCGCGTGTCGCAAACTTTGATAAGATAGATGAAGGAGAGCTGAGTGGGTGGAGGCACGGAAAGGACCAGGGCGCTAGCGACAAGAGCGGCACGTGGGCAGCCACCCGCATCTGTTGGCAGCCATGCAAGACGTTGCGCTGATATTTCCCGATAGATTGGGAGAAGGAAAAGGTATTAATTCTTATCCATGCTTCCAAGTTACATAGGTGTCTATTCATCCTCCGTCTTCGGCTTCAATGATGTATTTCCATGACGTCTCTTCGTCAACCCCGCATACGGCGCTCCTCTAACAATAGGTGCGATTTCCGAAGCAACGCCAAAAGCACAGTGATTCACACTCTGGAAGTCACCAATCCCCTGATATCCATGTTCCCTCATGTACTCTGGATCGTTGCTATTTGCAAGAACACCAAACTTGAGTCTAGTGTGCATCAACTCCAGTGGAAAAGGGTCATTGCCCAAACACGCGCCGCGGCTGATGTCGTCTAGGGTGGTATTTCGTGTGGTAACCAGGATGCGAGAAAAGCCAGTCGAGAACGTCGTACCATCTTGCCAGATAGTGAAAGCGCCAAACAGGAGAATGAGGAGTGTGATAAAGACAACTGGCGCGTAACATTGCCAGAGCCGTTCGGGGACGTAGACGAATGAGGATTGGAGTCGCGAGCGGTTCACTGTGAGCTGTTCTTCGGCGACTGCTAACATCTCTGGCGCTGATAGCAATGACAGAACCATGTCTGAGTAGAAGGTCTCGATCTCATTCGTCAGGTTTTGCTTAGGCTCGCTGTTCTTCTGGACTAGCCGTGTCTTTGTGACATCAGAATAGACTTGTGCATAGTATGGTCCGGGTAATGGCGGTTCGAGATCGACGTGCCCACGAAGAAAGTTCCTGAACATGTCGCCGACAGCATGGTATGCGGCCGTTTTCTTGTAAAGGCCCACGTCGCTCCGAGGGCTGATGTATTTTTCCGCTGGTCCCGAATCGAGGGTGTAGTTGATCTTGCCGTCGACTCCCCGGGGAAAGCTGGTGTTTAGAATGGGCCTCTGCGGTTCTAGCTTGACCGTGGAATTGAAGAAGGGTTCAGTGAAGTTCCAGCTGACTGTATACTTAGTCTCCATATGTATGCAGCGCATGATTCGCGCATCATAGCGATGTGTCCAATTCTTTGCAAGAGGGTGGTCTTCCGCGAGCTTTACTGTGGAATTGAACGCATAGCCAATCCAGAGCGCAGGTTCTGACTTGAAGACACCCAGGTCGACTGGAATTTCACCATCAGGTATACCACCCGAACCTTTGCGGAAGTTGTCGGCTTGCGGGCGGGCATATTCGCCCTCGTCGACATCGGCGTAGTAAACGAAGCGTCCTCGCGGTGCCAAAATGCTCATGTTGAAGGGTGCACCCAATTCCGTTAGTCTCTCATCGTCATCTGCACCACTTGCTATTTCTTCGCATTGGTAGCTCGGCCCAACAAAGCTTTGTTCGTACGTGCAATTGTACCGCCCTCCACAAGCGTCTTGCCGAGCATCTTGCCTGATGTTGGGACGGTCCACGTTGCTATAAGCCAGCAGAAGAGCGACACGTCTTAACTCCGCCGAGGGCTGATCGTAATAGTCAAACCACCCTGGTGTAGCCCCCGATAAATCCGTAGTATTGTAATACATCATCGATCTCTTGTTGCTTCCGTCGGCCAACTTCACCGGATGCCGCCAGTCTTTCGTGGACTCCATCGAGAAGTTCAGCGTGGGAACGTTGAGATCGATTGTCTCGCTGTCGAGATAGGTTCCGAAGGTAAGCGCACCGGGCGAGAAGATGATTGTTGCCAACGGGACCAGCCAGATGACCTGCAAGCCAGCAACCTTAATTAGTGATGTATCCTAGACAGTTCTTACAGGACTGTTTACTCACCAAGGCAATAGCGCACAGGACCGGTGCACTAGAAAGGGCTTCCCAATTTCCGAAAATCGATGGATCTTCAGTAGCGCCAAAGATCTGGTCGATAGACAGTACGGTGAAAGCTCGGTTCCTAAACGCCCTCCACATGCGCTGACGAAAGACCAGAACCACACATCCGCCAAAAGCAAGCTTCGATAGGTAGGCAAGTGCGCGCCCATACAGAACCCAGCGAAACTTCTTGTCCTCGTCCTCTTCTCGCTGGTGGTGCAAGAAAGTATACAAGAGGTGTTGAAGAAGCGCAAACACTATGCCCATGATGAAAGCAAACACCATGAGGGCCGGCCCACGCCAGTTTACTCGCCATTGAGTTGACTGCGTCGCTCGGTGTGCTATCAACCTCTCGGTCATAGGATCTGTTCGTGCTCTCGAGATACCCGATCCAAAGGAATACAGCGTATCGGGTGTTCTGGAGTATGGTGGTCGTGGCCCTGGAGAGTAGGTCGGAGGAGAAAAAGCGCCAGGCTTCGTATTAGGCGTATCCTGCCGCCAATACGTAGAGCTTGGTGATTTGGGTGATGGCATGGGCTCCATTTGGATACCTAGGCCTGGGTCGTTGACGTTTTCGCTGTATCTCGATGGCGTCTCGCGCCTGCTGTCGGTGGACTCGTCGCTTGTTCGCGAAGGTAAAGAGGCATAATCTGGTCGGAATATGCGAATGTCTGGCGATGCAGGTAAATATGAGTATTGCGGAGTTTGAGGATCCATGTTGGCAGTTGTTGGAGGCGTCAAAAATCGGATTGGCACATAGAGCGCTTGGCTGGATCATGTCTCAGTAGTTTGAGAGTCTGTAGTTGCATGTTTGAAAGAAGATAAGGGCCCGCACTGTGGAATAGGTATCCTAGATGGTTTTACAAAAGACCGGTCAGCATTTTCGGAATGGCCGCTCTGGCGTCGTAGCTGAGCTGCATCTTCCTAGGGCTGAGCTGTAACCGTCAGCTGGCAGGGGTTGCACACGTTAGAGGCTCATCATCTGATGTCAGTCGGTCCCCGGTGCTCGCACGGGAGTGTCGCAACAACAACGGCAGCCAGCCGCATCGCGCGACCGACTTATCAGGCCCTTGGCTGCGCCTGGTCTATTCGCGCGCGGAAACTACTACAGTGGCGACGGGTGACTTACACATTTGAAACGGTAAATGCTGCGGTTGAACATGACGAACGCTTGATGAGCGGTGTCGTGATGTCTGGTGCAGGAAAGCCATGGAAGGAGGCACGGAGGAAGCTCGGACGGAACAGGTGCGTTAGCCGAGAGTCATCCGCAACAAGACATGTACGCGCAGCAGCAAACAAAGTCACTACTACACGACACAAATACATTTGTGCATACAATCATGCTACAGTGATCTCGCTACATCCGAGAGGCAGTATTGTAGTACTGAACCATGGCTTTGACCAACGAAAAGAAGCGATTCGCTATCGCGTATGGTTCACATCACGAGCTCGCAACACGATAAATGGACTCGCTACAGGCGTTTGAATGTGGGATGATATCGCAAGCAGTCATTGAAACCTGTTCATCTATCTCAGGCCGCCTTGTGCATCTCAACAGTTCAGTCCCCTCAAATCTCGTAAAATCTCCTCGCTTCATCCTCAGTCACAGCGCTAGTGTGGCACCTATTCAAGTCCACAAGTCCATACTTGCTTCCCTTGATCTTCCACCACATATCGCGACGATTGCCGTTGAGCTTTCCACCAAGTATATCTTCCTTCAATTGCTTGATGAAGGGATTGTATATGTCTGGCTCCTCGAGCTCGATAAGCTCCTCGCGCATGACGCGAATGGCCTCAAGTGCCCGTCCATAAGCGTTATCGCCCACACTGTTGCTGATAAGGTTGCGAATCTCCTTTGCAACATCGTCCACGGCTTCTTGGATAGCCTCCATGTCGTCAGAAGCGGCCAGTGCTTGCTTGAACGAGGGTATGAGGTTGTTGGATTCGATCTTGACTCGCTTGGGATTGCCGAGGAGTGCGTCAACATCGAGACCGGAGAGGGGCTTGTCGCGATCTCCACGCTGGCGTTTCCCTCGACCTTTGACCTTTGGTGGGACTTTCTTGACATCTGCTGCTTCCATCAACCTCTTCAGTTGCTTTTCCGATGCGGCGAGGAGCTCTGCTGGTGGCGCGGAGTACTTCATTAGGATCTCGGGTGGATCAGGAATTGGCAGCGAAGGGTCGGGGTGCGTCGCTCGCCATTTTATCACATGCCCAATGCGGTGGACAAGGGGTGAAAACGTATCCTCTGGTTTCGCGTATTCCTCTGGGTTACCCTCTTCGTCGCGGCCAAATGTCGATAGATCCATTGCATCGACATAGTCGCTCATTGCGTCAAGGAGCTTGTCGGTAGGCAAGTCTCTATGCTCTGTGATAGTTTTGCCACTGACTGTGAGCTTTCGATCTAACGGTGGGAACTTGTACCGTCTCATGTCTTCCTCGAAAGGTAGCTCAACATCGACTAGAGCCTCCCACTCCAGCTCGATACGGGGAACAAGGAGCAGCAACACTGGAGGTTTGAGGTCTTTTGCCAC